GAGTCTGCTTCTCCCTCTGACCCTCCCCCCTCTCATGTGCTCTCTCTCTCTCAAATAAATAAATAAAATCTTAAAAAAAAAAAAAAACAAACATGTAAAGAATTGTGTTCAAGGCATTCAACTATCTATGAATTTGTATTTCTTTACTTTTAATATATTTCAGTATCCCATTAAAATAATATACCTTTTATAATAATGCTTATGCTAATAAAATTGGTACTTTTAAAAGTAAAAAAGCATAAAGGAGTAGAAAAGCATGCTATAATCTGCCTCAGAGGCCTAACTGTCCAAATCATTGCTCAGTGTTCAGACCAAGATCATAGTATGGAGGATCACATTACAATCCTAAGATCATAACTGAGGAGACAGCACAGTGAGTGGTTAAGAACTAGGACTCTGAAGACAGATTTACCCAGTTTTAAATTCCTAAACACTATGAACTATCTTTGTATCAAATGTTCCTCCAACACTTTAATGCTGTGTGACTTCAGGCAAGTTACTTTACTTCTCTAACACTAAGTTGCTTTATCTGTAAAGAGAAAATACTAAGTGTACAACAAAGCAGTTGTGAGGATTAATTAAAGTAATCTTGGTAGAAGACTTTACTATAGAGCCTGGCTCAACAGTAAGCTCTAATAACTGTAAAATTATTACTAAAGCCACTTATTTAACCTAGAAAATTATGTTAGAGCCCGTACGCTCCAAAGCCCCTCATTTTTGCATTTATATCATTTATTTTTGTTTCTAAAAAAGATGGAAATGGAGAAGATAATTAAGGTTGAAAAGTGAAGTCCAAAATATGGGAAAATAGGAAGGAAAAAGGGTAACACATAGTTATCATGATTAATCAAACCAGATAAGCACAGACGAAAAGATAAAGGGCTATAAAATAATAAGGCCATGAAAACGAGAAGACAAGGATAAACCAACAGATCACTATCAAAATTTATAGGACAAAAAAAAAAAGTCTCTAAAATAAGGAATGTTATGGAATGTTTGGGTTCAGATGCCGGCCCAAGTTAGCACTACTGGAGATGGCTTCTTTCATGGTTCTAATAAAGAAAAGCTTGGCAGGACTTTAATGGGAAAATAAATTAAACTCAATTGTATTTCTTATTAGACAAAGTTCTCCAATGTGTTACAATCTTGCTACATCCCAAAATTCCCAACACCAAAAGCAAGCTACAATTTGGAATAACTCATTCTAATTTTTTTCCCTAAAAGATTTTTAACATTTAAACATTGAGGAAATGGCAATTATATTTATTTGCAGAGTCAACTGTGAGGATGCTCAGGAGAAAAGGAATAGAAATATCAAAATAAACTCCCTGAGGGGTGCCTGGCTGGCTATCATCAGTAGAGCATGTGACTCTTGATCTCAGGGTCCTGAGTTCAAGCCCCATGTTGGTCGTGGAGCCTACTAATTTAAATAAGTAAGTGGGATGCCTGGGTGGACCAGTCGGTTAGGCGTCTGCCTTTGGCTTGGGTCATGGTCCCAGGGTCCTGGGATCAAGCCCCATATCGGGCTCCCTGCTTAGAAAGGATTCTGCTTCTCCCTCTCACTCTCATGCTCTGTCTCTTTCAAATAAAAAGATAAAATCTTAATAAATAAATAAATAAATAAAATTCCCTGACATATCTAGCATTTAAGTGCCAAAGCTTTATAAACCAACACTCTGCACTTTCCCTGTGAAACTGACTAATGCTCAAGACACATTCTACCCACTAGTAAGCAGGTTATTCTCTAGTATGTTCTCCCCAACCCTCTGTCCCTGAGTAACTTAAATAACTATTTTAAGTTCTTTTTTTTTAAAGATTTTTTTTAATTTATTCATTTGAGTATCTTCAATAAATATATCCTTTCCCACCTAAGTTGATGGCATCACCATTTACCCAGCCTTATCCTGACCAAGACCTGGGGGCTCTACCCCCAAATGAATCTTAAAACCAGCCCACCTGGATGAGACTTTGAGGCCGGTATAACAGTAATATTACATTTTTCTTACCATTACTGCCAATTACTATATTACTTGGTCCCCAT